ACGATGAAATTGAATTTTCCGAGTTTTCGAATCGGCGGCGATTCGATTTGTTCCACGATGTCAGCGTCCGACGAAACTTTGCCGAGTTAACGATTGAACGCGATCGATTCTGACTCTGGAGGGAAAAAATAAGGGCGGAGAGGGATTGATCGAATGTTACTATCGATGCGTGATATTAAAAAGGGAATTAGAACCAGGGGCATGAAAAAAATTAGGCTGATCTTTTTCGAGTTAAAATAAAAGGGGAAACTCGAGTATGAAAGATTGTTGTTATTGATTTTTTAAAAGTGAAAGGAAGTGTTCGAGTTAAAATAAGATGGAGATGAAGAATAAGAAGAGTAAGAACGTTTGAGGCTTTGTTTTTTAGTTTAATTTATGAGTGACAATTCGTTGATTTTTCTAATTGCTAATAATTAAGAAACAAAATAAGAAAGCCTCAAAATACAATTTTCCTATCTCAAATTCTTTGTAAAATTGATGATAAACTGTTATATATTGAAAGCTGCATTTATTAATAAAAGCTAAAAATTTAATTTATCGTTTAATTTATCATTAAATTCTTCACTTTGCAATCGCATAATTAACAATTGCCGATTTTAATTTATCCTTTATAATTTATTCTTTGTAAATTTATAAATACCTTTATTTTCATTCAATTAATTTAATTCAATTTCGAACAACACACGATTCAACACATAACAAAAGGATATTTTATATTATAGACTTTGCTTTTACAAAAATCATATTATAAAATGTACCCTGTGAATCAAGCGTGAATCTTTTAAATTAATTGAAATTTACATGCGAATTAAATAAGTTTAATTGAATAAAAAATATTTTTTTTCCCAATTTCTTTTTTTCACAACACCGATTCACTTTTATTAACATTGCAATAAATTGCAATAAATAAAAAAAAAAAAAAACCTATTCATCCTTTAAAGACGCGCAAAAATACCTTTCCTCCTAAAATTTTTCCAATTTTTTTATTATCGTTCAAAGAATGAAATTAAGGCCACGACATTTCCAGAAAAATTTCAATCTGAAATTACCTTCATTACCTTCATTCCTTGGCTACCTTGGCATTATCCCCTTTGGTACACGAATATCGTGCCCTTTCATGTTCCCTATCCCCCCCCCCTCCCTCCTCCCCATCCGTGCCTTTCCTTAACAATGCACTTAGACGCCATTACTGACAACAGCATGGCGTCAAATAACGCGGTGACAATAAAATTAAAACTATCCCGGCCGGAATGGAACTGAATGCGCATTCAAGCACCTTCAATTCACACGATATTTCAGATCGCATTATCGCGTTATGAATGTATCGACGACACAATTGCACTCCATTTGCCCTTGTCTTTTTACCCAGTTGATCGACGCGCTAGTAATTTTCGCAGCTTGGAACGATCAGAAGATTGAATAAATGTGCGAACGAAAGAAGACGATATCGCGATCAATAAACTGGACATGCGGATAAAATGATATTGTTATTTCTATACAACGAAATATTGTGCTTTATCGAGGAGTTTTCGTGAGGATTGAGAATTCCTAGGAATATTCTTTGGTGATTTTTTTTCTTCGAATCTTATATTGGTTATGTTTTACAATTATCAATAAGGAGTATTTAAAATAGAATTAGAAAATAAAATAGAATAGTTAAAACCTTGTCTCACTTCACAAAATAAAAATTTCATCTCGAACTGAGCGATCTATTATATCGACAGAAGATTAAGTAATCTAATATAACTTAATATAACCTAAAAATGAAGAAAAATTTCAAGAAGATGAATAAATTTGAAAAGAAAAAATTGATAGATAAATTTTAAAACAGAATTTCGAAATTTTTAGCGAGCAGAGAAATAAAATGTGGTGGTGAAAAATTGATCGTCTCTTATTGGAAAGATTGTATTGGCTGTTCGAAAGTACATTCTATCGTGCGTTCGAACGTAGGAAAGCGAAATTTATGGAACGTTTACTGTCTTAGTTGGCGGGTTGCTTATAGGTTTTGTTACGTGTACGAGAGTTTCGCGCCATGGACGAGCATCCGTCCTCTCATTTTTCTATAGATATAAAAATTCCGATTAAAGTTCTCTCTAATAAATTTCTCGAGGAACAAGGATGCAAATTTGAAGATCGAATGCTTCATCGAAGCTAAATTATAGATAAAATAAATTATTAAAAATATTGAATTATTAAATATTAAATTAATATTACTTTATGATATGATAAATAATATCATCCGAATATATAAATCTGTTTAATTTACAACAACTAAAATTTCTTGACACTAATTATTCCAAGTTTCGATCCACTTCTTCAAAATTCCTTCCCTTTGTTTCGAATATGCTCGCTGTTTTCTAAACACGTTGCACGCTGGTTCGGGTATTAATTGTGGAAGAAAAAGGTACACGAGGCGACTACGAACCGAGTTGGGAAAGGATACGTAGTTATCGGCGATGAAAAAGAGGAGCGTGAAACGTGACCGAACAAAATGTCGGAATCGAGATCCAACGAACGAGAAAAAGGGACAACACGCCTGACGAGAATACCGGAAACGGTGGATCGAATGGTACTGATCCGTCGATTGCTCGAATGTTTGTAAAGAATTTTACACCTTTTCGATCATAGACACCTGTACTGTTTCATACCTTCAAATCTCTTTTTTTTTGAGAATAAATAAATTTATTGTTAAAACTTATCGATAATTTGGATAATTATTAATTTAAATTAATTTGCGAAAAAAAAAATAAAAATTGAGAAATACAAAAAGAAGGACTGAACGGAAAGAATTAAGTAGATGTACTATATAAAATTTATACGATTTTTATTTTGTTATTAAGTTTCAATGTAATTTCAAATAACAGCAATGTTAAGAAAGGGGGGGGAAATTCAAGAGGTAATTATTCAGTAGCAATAAACTATTTTTATCGACCTCCAAAAAGCAAAAAAGAAGAAAAAGAGAGAGAGAAAACAAAAATTGGAATACAAAAAGAAAGAGTTAAGGCTATCGTAGATCGATCCAACTATTGTATCGTGCATTGTGGCCGGAAATTCTCCTGGTTCGGCTTGCTTGTCCAATCACGATTCACGAAATTCATCGTGCAAAGAACGATTCGTTTGCTGCCTTTTCTTTTGTCACGCGTGCAGAGATATCGTTCACCGTGAACAATTCATTTTTCTACGAAATAAATTTTTCACGAAATTGAATCGTTTCGTGGCAACGCTTCCGCCCTTTTAGTTTCTTTTTAATTTCGTTTTTATTTTGTTTTGTTTGTTTTTTTGTTCTCTTTTTTATCAAACGAAAATATTGGAGGGAA